TCACTTTCTGTCTACTCCATATTTCCATGCCTGTGGTTTATTTTGTTCGTTAGTTTATTTCATTGAATAGAGTCCACTTACAGGTGAGATCATAAAATATATGTCTTTCACTGACTGGCTTATTTCACTTCACATAATATTCTTCAGTTCCGTCCATGTTATTGCAAAAGGTAGACGTTCCTTCTTTCTTCCTTTTTTTTTTAATGCAGATTGATTTTATTTATTTTTTAAATGTCAAAATCCATTATAAAATATTTAAAAAATTAAGTCCATTATAAAGCCTCAGCAATTAAAACAACATGATACCAGAACCAAAATAATCGAGTAGATCAATAAAATAAAATAAGCATTCTAGAAACAAACATATATACCTGTCTAACAATGTAATATATGATTAAACTGATATTTTAAATCAATGGAGAAAATAAGGCTTATTCAAAAAATAAGGTGCATGGATCACTAATACTTGAAATAAAACAAATATAGAGCCTTATTTCACACATTATACCACAAATATTCAGGTGAGTTAAAAATCAATATGTAAAATCTAAGGAGTTTTAGGAGAAAATGCAAAATAATATTTTTCTTACCCTGAAGTAATATATTTAAACCCAGAAGATATAAAATAAAATATTAACAATATGACTATATTAAACATTTAAGACTTACAGTAATACACATATAAAAAAAGTTAAAGGACAAGTAATAGAATATGAAAGTATTGGTAACACATCTGAAGAAGGGTTAGTAGTTTTTTGTTCTTTTTAGGGGAAAAATTCTGCAAATATTTAATCAAAAATCGATAAAGAATACCAAAAAGTTTATTTAAAATTTTTAAAAAATAATAGAAATAGGCAAGAAATATACAAAAACAGGTTTAGTTTTCAACAAATAATAAAGTAACAATTAAAATAACACATCATTGTCACAATCAGATTAATAAATATTGAAAATATTGATAATATCAAGTATTGGTGACTGTGAAAGGAACTGGGTATTCATAGATTCTTTTTCTTCATCTTAAAGCAGTCACGTTAGCATATGTTGCAATGCTGGTTTAGTGGAGGTGTATTCTTTTAGCCTTCTTTTATCTAGGAAACTCCTTATTTCACCTTCTATTTTAATTGAAAACCTTGCTGGGTAGAGCAGTCTTGGTTGCAGGCCTTTGCTTTTCATGAATTGGAATATTTCTTGCCATTCCTTTCTGGCTTGTAGTGCTTCTCTTGAGAAGTCAGCTGCTAGTTATATCGGGGCCCCCTTGTATGTTACTACCTGTTTTTCCCTTACTTGCTTTAGGATTCTCTGTTTGTCTTTGGTATTTGCCATTTTAATGATGATGTGTCTTGGAGTGGGCCTCATTGGGTTCCTCTTGAATGGGACCCTCTGTGCTTCCTGGACTTGTGTGACTTTCTCTTCTCCAAGGGGAGTTTTCCATCATTACTTTTTCAAACAGGTTTTCTATCCCTTGCTCCTCTTCTCCTGTATAGTAGGGATCCCTACTATACAGATATTATTACGTTTCAGGTTCTCCTGCATTTCCCTCAATGCGTCTTCATTCTTTTTAAGTCTTTTTTCATTTTCTTGTTCTTTCTGGGAGGTTATCTCTACCTTATCCTCCAGCTCACTGATTCAATCCTCAGCTTCATCTAGCCTGCTTTTAATTCCTTCTAATGTGTTCTTCAGTTCAGAAATGGTATTCTTTATTTCCTCTTGTCTCTACTTGATAGTTTTTATGTCCTTTTTCATGATGATATAGTTTGCAGTAAGTTCCTTGTAGTTTCCCTGTAGTTTACTGTAATTCTCTCTGAGCTCACTGAGCTCACTGAGCTTCCTTAGAACCGTTGTTTAAAACTCAACACCTGATAGTTTACTTACCTCTATTTCATTTAGTTCTCTTTCTGGGGATTCCTCCTTTCCCTTCGAGTGGGTGGGGGGGTGTTTCTTTGTCTTCCCATTATTTGTGAAACTCTTGTTTTTCACTTCTGCTTCTTAAGTTGATCTATCTTTACTTCCTGACTTTGTGGTGTGAACTTCTATGGTAGGAGATCACTGTTTTTACTTTCTGGATCTGCCTCTGATGATATCAGATGTTGACCCCGTCTGCCCTTAGGCAGTCTGTTGGAGACTTCCAGGAATCTACCGTCTGTGGCTGTCTCCTTCAGCTGTTAATCTAGGCACTCTGCACTCAGCAGTCAGGTTTAGGCACCACAGGGTGGAGCAGAGTCCCTTCTGGGTCGGAATTATTGGGTCCTCCCACACTGCTGCCACTCAGGAAAGTGGTCTGCCTGAGTAGATGGCTGCTGCCATATGGGGGAGGAGTCAGCACCAGGATCCAGCCATCTACTCTCTCAGTTCTCTCCTCAAAGCTGCCTTCTCTAGTCTCTCCTCAGGCATCTCTTGCCCACTCTGCCCCTGCCTTTTCTGGAGACCAAGGTAAGTAGCTGCAAATAAAAAATGTATGTGTTGGCTCTTTAAAAGGCTCTTTGCGTCTCCAGCTGCCTGTCTCTGGCAGAAAGCAACCCTACTGCTTTTCACAGCTGGCTTTTATCTGTGTACTTTTTGGGTTCTGGTGCTGTAGGCTGGAGATCCCCACTTATGGTTTAGACCCCACTCTTCTCAGGAGGATTCGACTGGCCGTTTCAATATCCTTTTGGTGCTGACGCCCATGGGTGCCCAGCCTGCCTTCTCAAGTCTCTATCACATGCCTTACCAGTTAGGTAGTGCTAAAGCCGATTCTTCTGTCTGTCTGAGGTTATAAGGCTCCTCCCTTGTTATTGTTCAGTTGTTTGTTCCAGGTGATTTCTCCACAATTTAGTTGTAATTCCAGGTTGATCCTGGGAGGAGGTCAGTATGACTTCCATTCACTCCTCGACCATCTTGATTCTTTCCAGGATTTTATGACATTTTCCTATGTCATAAATAATAGGAGTCAGTTTTCAGTTTTATTTTTAATTCTTTAATTTTTAGGTTGTATTTAAAAAATTTCAGTGTGCATTAATACTTTAATTGAAACATTTAGAAGTGGTTGCTATTATGATTCTTCATACTATTGAAATCAGGACAATATTTTTCCTGAATAATTATGGTAGGAGCTGCTTTACTAAAACTACACACATAGTAATTAAGGACTATAGGAATTTCTAGGATATAAGTCAGAAAAGATAAATGGCATTTTAAAATACACTAGAAACAATACTTTCAAAATGGTTACTTTATTCCATTGTAAGTAAATATGGAAAAAGTTACTAAATTAAGTAATAGTATAATTAAGCATTAGTCACTGTTTTTCAATATTTATTACTCAAAATTTCTAGACTCATTGTAAGCAGAGTAGTTATATTTGTCTCCTGTATATTCTCAGTGCTTTTTATTTAGTAGTAGCTCAACACATATATAAAAGGTCTTTTTAAATGAGTAGCTGTATATTGTAGTTTTTCTTTTGTATGGAGAAATTTGTATTCTCCAGTGACATCGAATAGTCTCTTCATAAAAGCTCATATAGCTAAAATTATAATATGGTTTTCTAACTATATGCAATGCAATAACATAGAAACAGTTATAATTTTTGTATCTATTTTAGTAAAATATTTGTGCTTATTAATTCCCTACTTACATAATTAGAAGACTAGTTTTTGAAAAAAATCATTTTTCTATGATATTAAAGATAAAAATTTATGTATATTTATGAGCTTGACATGTGCTTATATTTAAGAATTTAAGGAGCTATTACCTTGAATGCATCATATGTCTGTATTATATGTGGAAATGGTCATTTTTTTTACACAAAGAAAATTTTGTATAGAAATTACCGTACTGAAAATGAATGGCACAGATGACAATATAATTAGCTATTTTAGAAGTTTAGTTTGTTTGTTTTATTTTGTTTTCTTTTCATACAATAATGTCATTTTTTTCCTTTATAAAAAAATGTAATAGTATTTCTCTGATCATTATTTTTAGGGAGATTTTTGGAGGTGCTTTAATTAATATTACTAACAACAATAAAAATAAAAGTCCTTAGTGTTTCTATTGATCAATATGTATTTGAAATACAACTTTGTATAGTAGTTTCTATCTTATTTTATCTTATTTAACCTACTCGTTTTTGATAGAAAGCCACCAATGTTATAGGTCAGTGTTTCAAAATATATTTACACTTATCACCAGGACTTCTGATGATAATTTACAGCTAGTATTCAGGAGAAATGCTTTAGAAAGCATTTGTATACATTTTTTAAATTAAATTTAATAGAAAAATGCCAAACATCTCCAAAGTTCATCATTGTTCAATATAAGATAATCAATACAATCAGGTATATCATTAAAAACAATAACAGTATAAGCATGGCATAGGTGAAAATAATGTAACTAGTATTTAAAATGTATAACAAAATAAATGTTAAAATCATAGAGGTAATCAAGGCAATCCTAAAATGTAATATATAGAAGAATAATAGTCTATATCAAAAATAGTAAATCTGTATCTATTAAGGTTGTCCTATGAGGCAGATAAAAATGAGAAAGACATGGATAATCACTTAAATAGTAGTGTGTCATATTTATTAGGTGATCATTAGAAGAAAATGAAGTGAATAAAATATATATTCAAGACTTTTGAATTGTCGCTGGCTTTTGTAGCGGTTAACCAAACTTGTTCAATATCAGAAGGCTTAGAAACATACAATATCATGTTTACTTTTTTGCCCTCTTTGGTAAGGTAAAATTTGTTGCTCCGATTCACTAGAGATATTACTTTTAATTATGTTGCTTCCTAAAGCATAAATTTTTATTGTTTGGCCGTCACGAAGGAATGACCTAGAATAAGGAGGAGGGCAGCACAGTTTCAAGTTGACTCCTCAGACGACTGTGACACAAACTGCGGCCCAGCCTGGCAGTGAACACCTGGACTTGGCGATGGCCGTTTCCACTTGGCCACTGTGTATTTTTTTATAGTAACTACACTACGTTTTCCTGTCTAACTTCAGTTTTTATCTTTTCAGGTTTGGATTTATTCTTCATAAAGATGAAGCTGCATTACAGAAAATTGATCTTGAGACCATGTCATACATCAAGACAATTAATTTGCAAGACTATAAGTGCGTTCCTCAGTCGCTGGCGTACACACACTTGGGAGGGTATTACTTCATTGGCTGCAAGCCCGACAGCACTGGCGCGATTCCGCCCCAGCTCGTGGTGGACGGTGTAACTGACTCAGTCATTGGATTCAATAGCGATGTGACAGGCTCTCCATACATCTCTCCTGACGGGCACTATCTTGTCAGCATTAATGATGTGAAAGGTCTTGTAAGGGTCCAGTACATTACCATCAGAGGAGAAATACAGGAGGCTTTTAATATTCACACAAATCTGCACATATCTGATCTGGCGTTTCAGCCGTCCTTTACAGAAGCCCACCAATACAACATCTACGGGAGCTCAGGCACGCAGACGGATGTGCTCTTCGCGGAGCTCTCCTCTGGGAAGGTGAAGATGATAAAGAGCCTCAAGGAACCACTCAAGGCAGAAGAATGGCCTTGGAACCGGAAGAACAGGCAAATCCAGGACAGTGGCTTGTTTGGGCAATACCTGATGACACCTTCCAAGGACTCTCTCTTTATACTGGATGGACGACTCAATAAGTTAAACTGTGAGATCACTGAAGTTGAGAAAGGAAATACAGTTATTTGGGTTGGAAATGCCTAGGAGCACTACTAGATAATTATTGAATAAAGAGTTTTCCAGTACATTGCACTTCATTCATTGTTTAAATTTGCAGCTTAATTTTTCAAGTTTTTATTCTAGTCAAACATGTTACTTGGTTGGCCCAAATAAAATAGATTTTTTTTTTTTTTTTTGGCAAAGAAATGCACAATTAGTAATATGGGTTCACTAGAAATTTTAACACAATATTTAATGAGAAACTATATTCATCACAAGGATCAAATCTATAATTATGTTTTAAGCCAACAAAATAAGAATTTAAATACTTAAAAATAACTTCAGGGAATTTCAGATGACTTTCAGCACCATTTTATTTTAAGGGTGGTTTATCCATTTTTTTTTTCTTTCCTTTTTTAGTATACTTAAACCAGAAATAAAGGTATTGTGAAAACTTCAAACTCTTAATTAAAAATATTTTGTCCCATTCACTGTTTATAATCTTTTGTGCCTTGAAGGGAATGTCACAGGAGGAAAAGGAAGGCTAAAAGCTGCATACTGAACACTGTTATAACTAAATCTCTCGGCATTAAAAGAGAAATGTTTAACATCTTCTGCACTAAATCTGCCTTTAGTCATTTGTTAAATGAAATATCATTTGAAGGCATGAGTTGACCTTAGGTTGTATACAGGTGACAAACTCTAATTGACACTTACTGTATAATCTGCAGTATGCTATGGAAAATGGGGAGGAAAGGAGGAAAAATAAGTATGGTAAAATGTTTGCAATGTATTCTCTACTCATTTTGCTTTCAGTCACTAGAGCACATTAAGTTTTTAATTCAAGTTTGTCTGGGATGTCAACTGCTTACAAATGTTTATTATTAGCAGAATAGATTTTTTTTTCCCCCCACGTAGTTCAGTGTTGCATCAGCAAGAACTCTCATTTCTAAAAGAAAAAGAAACATTATTTGTGTCTGCTTAGAGTAAACCACATATAGGGAAAATAACACCAGGGAGAAAAAACTGGCTAGAAAACTGATGGGTATTAGTGTTTTAGGAAAATTAGTTTAGAAATTGGAATTAGGGGATAGCTCCACAGTGGTGAATAAAGATGTACTTCACCATTGTCTTTGCTATATAATTATAACCCATCAAAAACTTCATTCTTTAATAACTTTTCTTAATGACCTCTATTCAACTCTTGCAAAATCCTTAAATAACCCACTCACTGTGTGCTATAGCTCAAAACCTAACTAATCCTCTTATTTGAGACATCGCATAGAGTAAAAAATTACTTTTTCTTTTTAAGGGCAAAGATAAGGCCAGTAGAAGGGCATTAAAACTAGAGAGTTGGTTTATTGAAGTAAGCAGATAATTATCTAGACTTAAAGTGATAGCTTACATGTTTTAGAATCTTTTTTACTTATTTTTGCTTTGTTGCTGCTAAAATGCTAATGGGCTGTTGAAATGACCTCCATTTACCGAAGGTAATCCTATAAGGTCTTTTTTAAACACAAATTTTACTCAAGTTTAAATTGTGAAAAACTGCTTAGAAACCTGAAATTTTATAGTGTATAATATCTTATGTGTATATAGCATCCTGAACTATGTGATACAGTAGATTTCTTCGTAGCTTAAAGAAACATATGGGAAGTAGATTTAATAAATAATAAAAATCAGCTTATGTTTCTACTTATCTGCTTTCCTTTTTAGCAGTTTCCTCCCATGTGAACATGAACCATATAAAGCATCTGTGACCTAATGATTTAATGTAAGTTTGTCCTAAACGTCCTTCTTTGGTAGCTTACACCATGTGGATGCTCTGTCTATAGACATTGCTTGATAAAAAGAGAATAAACCTCTTACATTTTAATCTTTGAGAGTTCAGTCAATGTTTTAATGTGCATACAAATGTTTTCTTTTTCTTTTCTCCTGTTGCTTCAAACATAGTCTGGTGTTCTGTATTATTTTTAAAATGATAGGATGAGGTAGAGAGTAAGTGAAGTGAGATCAATTAAGAAAAGACCATTAATTCCATGCCACTGGGCCATAACAAAAAACAAAAAAAACAAAAAAAAGTCTTACCTTTTGTGACAACATGAATGGACCTGGAGAATATTATGCTAAGTGATATAAGCCAGTCAGAGAAAGACAAGTACCATATAATTTCAATTCTATGTGGTTCCCAATGAACAAAATTTTGTAACAAACAAAATAGAAATTTATTCATAGAGACAGAGAACCGACTGACAGCTGTCACAGGGGAGGGGGGTTAGGGAAGTGGCTGAAAAAGATGAAGGGATTAAGCAAAGGAAAAAAGTTCGTAGACACAGACAACAGTAGGGTGATTACCAGAGGGAAAGGGGGTTGGGGGAGGTTGAAGAGGGTAAAGAGGGAATAAATTGTTATAGAAGGAGTTTTGACTTGGTGTGTTGAACACAATACAATATGCAGATGATGTATTACAGATTTGTGCACCTGAAACCTATATAATTTTATTAACTAATGTCACTCCAATAAATCCAATAAAAATTTTAAAAAGACCACTTAGTCTTTTAATAAACAATTCTAAATTGCTATATCATTTCATATTCAATGTTTAAAGCAAGGAATTTATCCTTTTTCAGGTGTCTATTTCTTTAGAATCTCTTCTTGTGTATTAAAGGACTGAATATCAGAATGGAATATCAAAAGTAAACTCAAAGAAAAATTCTTTTCTTTCTGTATTCTTATACCACTAACCAAACAAAGGTTGAGTCACTCTTTTTAAACATTGAAACTTGTAATACAATACTGACATTTGTGATTCTTTGAGAAAAGCTGTTGCAATGATATAATATTTTCTGAGGTAGATGTTTCTTTTATTGAGGATGGGGAAAAGATAGAGTAAAAGCTAACATACAGGAACAGCATTATAGTATGCACATCAAGAGTGTGTAAAAAAACTGAAAAACAATAATAAAACAATGAGGTAACTGCTCTGTCAAAATGACCTAACATCAAAGAGTAAATTTTAACAGGTAGGAGAAAAGAGTACAGTTAGTAGCAAAAAAAAAAAGAAAAAGAAAAAAAAAGAAAAATTGAAGTGATCTATTTTTTCTAAAAAATTATCTGGTGATAATTTCGTGATAGCAATGGAGGGCATGAAATGAGAAAAGGTGTGAAACCAAGAATGGGATAAGATGTGGGATAGTCCTTGAATAAAAGTGACAAGAATAAGTAAATATTTCTGTAAAGAAGGTAATAGAGGTAAAATATAGATCAGATTTTTGAGGGAGGAAGGTGAAGAATTAAGCCAGAGTTTGGATGTAATCTAGATAATAAAAACTCAACAATAATTTTTTAAAAGGGAGATGGCAGCTCTGGTTGGTGTAGCTCAGTTGGTTGTACATTGTCCTGCAAAGAGTGAGGGTTACCAGTTCAATTCCAGGTCATGACACATCCCTAAGTTGCGTGTTTATCCCCAGTTGGGGTGATGTTTCTCTTTCTCATCAAGGTTTCTCTCCCTCTCTTTCTTCCTCTCTTCCTTTTTTTCTAATAAAGAAATAAATATTAAAACAATTAAGTTATAAAAAGGGAAATGGCAGTAAAAACAATACTTTTAAAGTACAGTATTTTTTAATGAAATGAAGATTTGACCAATGGAAAATGACATTAGAGGACAAGTTAGTTATCAATTGGGAGGCTACTGCAACAAGGTAAGTTTATGGTCTTTAATATAAGGCATTTACATCAACATTATATATTATAAAACTGGGCATGTTAAGAAACCATACTTGAAATGACAAATAAATAAATATGATCATACAAAAAGACAGACATAAAAGGTCTCAGATACAAGCATTAATTGAGGCTGTGATCACCTTTGCCCCAACTTACTTGCAAGCTGGAGTTTCAGTCAAGGAAAGAAATTCAAGAAGACCAGGGACTATACCAGCCTAGAGTCACCCAAAGAAAAGTAGGTCACTGTCCCAATACAAAGAGATCTGATCAGATCACTGGGGAGGAGTAGGGAGGGACTGTAGGAGGAGGTTGCCTGAGGCAATGGTAAACAGTCTAGGATGGGATTGCCTGAGAATCCGAATGCCTCCGGACTGCCCGGAATTATGGGCAAAGGGATTTGAAATAAAACAAGGGCAGAGACTGGCTTTCTGGCTTTCTTCCTCGAGGGTCCCTGGGTGATTATGCTGCAGCTGCCTGTGTTTCCTGAAGGACTGTATTTTGGATGGAAGGAGAAATTCTGAGCACAGCCTAGCATCAGGCTGGCCTGGCAGAGGGTGGTGGGGTTGTTCTTTGGGCATTCTAGAATGGGTGGGCTTTGAGGCAGAGGGTTGCAGTCGTGTAGCTTCCGTATTTTATGTTATCTGAGTATGTAAACTAATCCTATAGAAATAGGATAATTAAAAACTAACCAGGGGGAATGATAGAGAAATTCAGGATTAAAGATTTTAGCCTAGTTGGTAGGCTTATGTGAGTAATGCATGTGGGAAGTTATTATTCCAAAATCGTGTCACTTTTGAATAAAGATGCCTTTCCTTTATCACCAAAGCTTTGCCTCCAAAATTTTGTCTAGAGGGCGGCAGTGGTCAGAAGGACCCTCTTGCTGTTGGGTAACATCCCTACCTTCCAGTTCCAGAGCAGTAGTAACTAGTTGTTATGCAGAAGACGAGAAGCAAGCCATAAAAACAAATAACTCCAAAATGGCCCTAAAAAACTGATTTTATTGAAACAGAATACAAAGAAAATGAGGTTGAAGAGCGCTCCTTGATAAAGATTTGGGTTGTATGCAATTACATGGAAGCTGGTAGTTCCACTTGTTGTAAGCCAGCTAGTTTATCAGAGAGAATGGGAGAGAGAGAGAGCCAAAAAGAGCCCTCCCTGGGTCAGAACTAACCACAAAGATAAACATCAAAAACTACCCCTGCAAAAGACGGCTGTATTTAATTTGAGCAGACTGAAACAACTGTCTCTCAGGTCTTTGTTAAAACAATATTGAATTCAGCTACCAATCAGTACAGCCTATGATCTTGGTGTGATACAAACAGAGACAGATTCATTCAACGTTTAGGCAAAGAAATGGTCAAGAGAGTCCCACTAAAACCAATGCCATTGCAGGGTGATTGTGGAAATATTAAAGGCCACAGCTTCTGGGTAGTGATATCGAATGATATGGGTAGAATGCATTTCCCCTCAATAATCCAGTTAAATCTCTAAATAAATGAGTAAACAAGAAGCTCTGTTGGCGGTATATGAACTTGCTACAATGTTATCTAAAATATGTTATTTTTAAAAACAACAAAAATTTGTATGTATAAAGAAAAGACCTGAATAGCAGAAACTGCTCTTCATTGGGGCCAACAGTTGAACTGATGAGGCGAAACTTCAAAGGTGGAGTTAAAAAGACTTTAAAAACACTACGGAAGACTATGCTTTAAAAGAAAATTAAAGAAAGTATAATGACAATGTTCTAACAAAAGAGAATATCAATTAGAAATTAAAAAATTAATTTATGATGTAAAAAATATAGTAACTGGAAAGAAAATTAACTATTGGGGTTCAAGAATAGATTTGAATTAACAGGTTGAAATTTGAATGCAGATTCATATGATTATGCAATAGAAAGACTGACACAAGAAAATTCCCAAATTTTCAAAACTTCAGCCTACAAATCTAAGAATATCAATGGGTTTCAAATAGTATATATACAAAAATATCCACATGTAGGCATGCCTTTAAAACTTTTGAAAAATAATGGCAAAAAAATCTTTAAAGCAAGAGGAAAATATGCCACTTATAAAAACATCAGTAAGATTAACAGTGGATGCATCGTAACAAATTGAGGGAGGCTCTGTCCCGCGGAGTCTCCCCGGTCACCGCGGATGGAGAAATAAACCGTACCAGACACGAGCTGCCTGTCAGGAGAGGGGGCTAGTGATTCCCTCTAGTGGAGAATGTCCTGAGCCCTTCTCATGACGTGGCTTTTATAGAGGATGATATGCGTAGGGGTATACAGCATACATGCATGTAAAGCTTATCAGTTTACTTCAGAGGGCTATAGACGATAACAGAAGGAACACAAAGATCAGCCTTGGTATAGAGTCTGTCAGACATACAGACACCAGATGGTCATTAAGGCAAGGTTCAGGGGCTTAGGAATTATCTCCTTACAGTGAAGTCAAACACCTGGTTTTTCCTTATCAGGGCAGGGCGAAGCAGAGCAAGTTTCAGTAACTATAATGTATTCTTTTGTGGCTCTACCGTTCCCAACACCACACAAAGTGGTCTCCAACATCTCCCTCTTTTTTGTTTGTTAAGGTGGAAATGGTAATAAGTCTGATGAAGCTTGCTACTTGCTTTTCACGTACACGGTCCCTGGAGAACAATTTGTAAATGCATCTCAAGGCACAGAAACTACAATAGTCAGGAGGCATTTAATTTAAGTTGGGACCTAAAGTTATTTATGAGCTGCTTCTTTGAGCACCTTGGACCCTCTCCCACATTTCAGGCCTTGGGATGAAAGCACAGTTTCAAGGTTTCCTTTCCTAGATAGTGGAAACACTATGTAGAATTTCAAGGACTTCCCTCCTTCCTTGCTAACATAGTGTTTCTTGTGATGTTGGAACACCTGGCAGTACTATTGGACCAGGCTCAGGACTGCTGAGTTAGCAGGTGAAACATGTCTCCCTCCCCCTCCCTGCCTTCGTTTGTTATTCATTCCACTTAAGTGATAAAAGGTGTTTTCTGGCAACCAGGATACTAGACGCTGGCCAGTAACAGCAGCCCAGACTCAGAGTTCTTCCTATGCTGTCTTCTGCCTCATTTCCCCTTGAGAGACATGCTCTCAAAAATTGCTTTTTGAATTCCTGAGGATGAAGGTCTGTCTTCTGCAGCTGCTTCAGGCTTGAATGGGACCGTAGACCCTGCCTATTGAGAACGATGAAACTCTCACCCCGTTCTGCCTGGGAGTTGGTAAAGACTTCCTGAGACTGTCAGGGATGCTATATGTCAGTCCGAGGAGGTTGAGGAAAGTGTCCTTCTATCA